CCCCAAAACCCCAAAACCCCAAAACCCCAAAACCCCAAAACCCCAAAACCCCAGATGATATTTAGAATATTGAAGATTTTAGAAATATTTATTTCTAATATGGAAAAGATCCAAAAGAATCATTATCAGACAAAGAAAGATTTGATCTGGAGAGCCACTCTTGATGAAGATATCATCCCCTTCGTCAATCTCAAGCCTTCTCTCAAAGAACTCACTCAAGAGGAAATGAAGAAAAATGATGCTCCTGACCAGTTCAACTTCTCTGAAGCAAATGTGTTCAGAGGCTTCACGAAGGGTGCCCAGCCTGTCTTCAACAAAGACAAACTGATCTACAACTTCAAGACCAACAAGTGGTTTAAAGTCTTGGACCTGAAGACTGACAATCAGTACAACCCGACTTGGGCCAGCCTCTCCATCAGAGACGGAGCCGAGACCGTGGAGATATCGAAGCCAGAAGAGTTTGCGGAGTACAAAAACACCTTAAAAGTGTTTATCAACGTGAACTTCTCAGAAGGCGACAGCTCTGTCATCGAGGTCAACCCCAAGATCTACGAGAAATTTGAGACTGCATTTGAGAACGCACTGCAAGGTGTAGGAGCCCAGATGATGTCATACAAGTTCTTCTTTAATGGCAAGGAGATATCTAAAGATGACTGTATAGCAAATTTGGAAAATGTAACAGAGGGGAGTACCATATTGGCCTCGGAAGGATTAGGGAAGCCATCTGTGTTTAAGAGGTTCCCTGACTCCAATCCGAACTCTAGCTGGTCTAATAGTGGAAGATACTGTGACGGTCTTGCGTTCATTCCTAATCAGAATATTAGGCTAAGTGGGTTCACTACTTTTGCATCTTCTAATGATTCTCAATATGAAATGAGATACACAGTTGATATCGGAGGTACAATTGTTGAAGAAGATACAGTCGTAGCTACTGGATGGGAAGAAGATATTTACTATAGACACAAGCTAAAAGGAATTTATCAAGTGCAGGCAAATCAAAAGTTTGAAATTATAGTCTGGATAGCTAAAAGCCTTACAAATAATGATTATGTATCTACTTATTCGGGAAATAATGGTTATAACTATGCAGATGTTGAGAATGAGCATATGGGATTATTCAAAATTGAACAAGCAAGCAAGAGCGACAATGGTACTTCAGTTTATGGAGGTCACTTTCCTGAAATATTTTATTACCTTGGATAAATTCAATACTGACGAAATCCTATGGGGTTTTGGGGTTTTGGGGTTTTGGGGTTTTGGGG